GGCTGCCCATCTTTATCCTCTTTGGCTGCAGTAGGGAGAAAATATAAACAATTCAACTCATTGAACCAGCCAACTCCATGTGTGCCAAGCCCTGTGCTATGTACCAGAGACACCAGCAGGGAGCAAGACAATACTACCCTGCCCCACCCACTGGAGTTTGCAGACTGGCGTGGGAGTCAGGCCCTTCACATGGGACCTGGCTGAATGAGGGACTCAGGGTACTCTGGGAGCATATGGCTAGCTAGTGGGCTCAGGGGTCCCCTGAGGAAATGATATTTAAGCTGAGATCTAAAACTGGAGTGAACAAGTTAACAATGGAGAAGAGAAAAAGCAACTGAGCATAGGGAAGAGCATGGGGTAAAGGCTCAGAAGCAAGGAACAGCCTAATGTGTTTGAGGAATGGAGAGGAACTCAGTGTGTTTGAAGAACGAGTGAGGGAGGCACTGGGAGCTTGAAGCAGCAGATGGACTCTGGAGAGAAAATGCAAAGCCAATTCTTCAGACCATGTTAGGAAGTCTGACAGGATTCTAAGACACATCTGAATCCTTTACAGGGTTCTCAGCAAGGTAATAAGAGAGGGGAGAACTGATAAGAATTTTTGAAAATGACCCTGGCTGCAATGCACCACCCCTCCCTTCCCCTGGGAGCTACAGATATTGGTGGTAATGGAAGCAGTAGGAGTAGACAAGATTGTTCTCAACTAAGTGATCTATTTTGCAAGGGCAGAAAGTGCTTTTTTCCCACTGTGTTCCCACTTTACCTCTCCAAGGAATTAGAAGCATGTGGCTCACTCATCTAGTCCATGCTGGTTGAAGAGGGAGGGGAGGAGCTAGTGCCACCCACACAGTTACTTGTGAGCTCTGGCTGGGTGATGAGTGGGCTGGTTGTGGAGACAGTCCTGGCAATGGCTTACTAAGTGCCTCTTGGTGCTACAGGTAGCCCTGACCTGCACTCAGATCTGGTGGACCACAGAGGTGGGCCTTGCATTTACCAGGCTGGAGGAAGGCTATGAGAATGCCATGAAGGACTATTATAAGAAGCAAGTGGCCCAGCTCAAAACCCTCATCACCATGCTGATTGGCCAGCTCTCCAAGGGGGACCGGCAGAAGATCATGACCATATGCACCATTGATGTGCATGCCCGGGATGTGGTGGCCAAGATGAATGCTCAGAAGGTGAGTCCCTGTTTGGGCAACTATACCATGAATACTGTGGCTGTGGAGAAGCTCACCTATTGTCTAAACATGGGGGCCCCAGACTCTGCATTGGCCCAAGAGCTGGGAGAGGATCATGGGGGCTACTCCTACCTTTTAAAACCCCAGCAAAACAATGCGATCAGAGCAGCTCATGCTTTCTGCGCTGTGGGCACAGGGTGCTGTGCTCATGTCTAGAGACAGCACCCAGGTCCGCCAGTGCACTCTGTGTCCTGTGGCCAAGGGACCACCTACTACCTGCTAACCTGTGGCTCACCCACCTATTCTGCTCCTGCCACTGTCTCCAGGTGGATAATGCCCAGGCCTTCCTCTGGCTTTCCCAGCTGCGGCACCGTTGGGATGATGAAGCCAAGCACTGCTTCGCTAACATCTGTGATGCCCAGTTTCAATATTCTTATGAGTACTTGGGAAATACACCTCGCCTGGTGATCACGCCGTTGACAGACAGGTGAGTGTGGGCATCAGGCACTGACAGAGAACCCTACTGCTGTCTGGCTTAGGCCACCCAGTGGCCATCTGGGTCAAGGCCACTGGGACTTCCTGAGGAATTACTAGGTAGTCATACACACCTGAATTCTAACACCAGTTCTAACACATTCTAGCTGCTTATCCATGAAAAACCTGAACCTAATTCTTGGTCTCCTTATCTCACACCACACATGAGTTTTAAGGAGTTTGGTGTATAGATGCTCAGTGAATGATTCCTAATGCTATTTTCTTATAATTCAATGGCCACATTTATTCAGCACCTCTCACTCTGGTAACACACAGATAAAAGCAAGGTAGTCTCTACCATGAATGGGGTTTTTAATTTTTTAGGGAACCATATTTTTTGTCATTCATATTAATTCATTTTTTAATGAATTCACACCAGACACTGAATGAGTCACTGGGAATACATAGATGACTAAAACATTCTCTGCCCTTAAACTCCAATTCTAGTGAGAGAAATCAGACATATGTGGATAAAAATTTAAATAGCACAAGGTAGAAACATTCAAGGCCATAGTATAAAAGAGGGCTTAAAGCCATAAAATATCCAAGCAAGTGACTTATCCAAGTAAGTATCCAAGCAAGTAAACTCTATGAGCACAGAGGGACACAGCCAC